TGAATCACAGATCTGTACCTCTGAAACAAATAATACATTATATGTAAAACAAAGAAGAAGATAGCAGGAGGGGAAGAATGAAGGGGGGGAAATCAGAGGGGGAGATGAACCATGAGAGACTATGGACTCTGAGAAACAAACAGGATTCTAGAGGGGAGAGGGGTCGGGGGATGGGTTAGCCTGGTGATGGGTATTAAAGAGGGCATGTTCTGCATGGAGCACTGGGTGTTATGCACAAACAATGAATCATGGAACACTACATCAAAAACTAATGATGTAATGTATGGTGATAACACCTCAAACATGTCATTTCATTTTCATGTAGTCTGTTGTCTGATTATTTAATTCTTTAAATAAATTTACTTTTTCCTGAGCAGGATCATTATGTATTCATGTATTCTGTTACTATAGTTATAATTTGTGGTCTACTCTAAGGACAAAAACTGCAATAATTTTAGTAGGACTAATTGTTTTATTATTCAACAGATATTTATCAAGGGCCTGCTATATACCAGATATTAGTATCAATGGATAGAACTGAATATGCATGTTTTGACTTCATACAAGATAAATATTCTAACAACTAAACTGACTCATAAAAGAAGTGTGTGCTGTTTTATGAGGAGGTGAGTTTTACTGCAAGGCATTCAAGCAGAAGCTGACTGAGATGTTGCATTAGGGTGCACTTGGGCAAGATGCCTTTTGAGGCCTTTCCCATCTCTAAGATTGTCTGATCTTTCTGTAATTTTTAAAAATGTAAATAAACAAATACCAAGGAAGGAATGAATATCCTAAATTATATGTATGCATTTTTCACATGGACAATTTCCCAGTGATCAATATAAAAAAAGTGTGAGACCGGCTTCTGCTTCATACCAAGAAATTGCCTTCTCTCTTTAGCATTATTATTGTTGTCGTTGTTGTGGTTATTACAACTGGGGATCTGAATCCCATATCACTGTAGGAAAATCTTTTATGCTCTGACTTACTTCTATTTCACAGGACGGATGAACTCTGCTCTAGGACAGTCTACAAGTGCACACATGGGAGGTAACAGCATCACATGCCCTCGTGCTAACAAACAAATTCGTGAGTATAGTACGAAACTTCAATCATACTTTTTCAAGAGCACAAAACAAATAATTTTAAATATGAAAGCAGTTTTAAGAATAAAAGAACCTGTTGAGTGCAGGGTGATCTTGATTTGTCCTAACCATATACAAATTAGTATCTATTTCACTGGAATTTTTCCTTACTACTCAATGAGTAACATCTACTCTAGGAAGCATTAATTTTCAATCCATACAGCCATACACATAAACACTTCAAATTCAGATGAACTAAGCAATAAATCTGTTTTTTTTTTTGAAAGCTTTAAACATGAGAAAATGGTTTCTTTGAAGTACACTGGCAAAACTCAAATCAAGGACACAAATCCTATAACTATCTCATTAAATAGAAAAAATACTTTGAAAGAGAATTACTGAGTTTCAGTATAAGTTTTTGAAACAAATAACATTTATTCTAGGTTGGAACAAAAGGTTATTTTCACAGCATCCCATTAAGGTCATGAGAGAGAGCCCCTCTCTTACTGCATGGTATTTTTTCTGTACATTTTTGGTTTATAAGCCTGGGAAATTAAGTAAGTTATTTTTTAAAAAAGATTTTATTTATTTATTTGAGTGAGAGAGAGAAATAAAGACAAAGAGAGAGAGAGAGAGGGAGCGCACGAGCAGGCAAGGAGGGGCAGAGGGAGAGGGAGAAGCAGGCTCCCTGAGCTGGACACGGAGCTCAATCCTAGGACCCCAGGATCATGACTTGAGCCAAAGGCAGATGCTTAACTAACTGAGCCTCCCAGGCATCCCAAGTAAGTTATTTTCTAGTCACAGAGAATTCTAAAGATAGGTAGACTTGAGAACTTAAGCTAGGGCAGGTAACTCACTCACTAAGGCTCAATCTTCTCTTTTCAAGAAATGAACTACCGACTAGCTATAGCTCTAACATCAGAAAACAGCTAAAGGTGGGAATATGTCCTTGAATTAAGAGTTTCAAATTTTGGTAGAATGTTTCCTAGAGACAGAACATGGGGTGTGAGGCATCAACTGTTGCCTGGGTACTAGACGGAATACTTTTAAATTAGGGTAAGATAGCCAATCCATGCCTTGAAAAGTACCTGGCCATATGTTTAACATAAATTTCCTGAATGCCTCCTATATGCCAGGCCCTGTGTTCAGCACTGGGGAATCAAAGACAAATAAGACACGGACACTACTCTCAAGTTGTTTAGAATATCACAGTATACTATGAGAGAAAGATGCTATGCAAGTGACCACAGTAAATAAGTCTAAGACTGTCCTGGAATGGATGGAGTTAGGAAGAGAGGATATCATGTGTTCTATTAAAATAAACGGGGACTAGGAGTGTGCTGTCATTTTCAAAGGCTGATTCTAATGATCCTAGGGCATAGAACAGATATTTTGAGATGTATGCTTTGGTTGACTCTCCCCTTGGCAACTAGGGTTTACGTTAGTCAATGGCTGTACTAGGCTTAGTTATTTTTCTGTAGGGGATCAAATTCCAAACTCTTACTTCAACAGTGCTTGTTTCAATTCAATGAATTGAACCAGGTTATTCTAATTACACATACATTTAGGGTTAGCAAAAGTTTTAAGGATTCCTTGTCTTTCAGATAAAAAGAGGATTAAAGTTGAAGGAAAACTGCTGAGAAAAAAATACACTTTAAAGTAGATATGTCCTGGGATTGAACCCCACATCAGGCTCCCTGCTCAGCGGGAAGCCTGCTTCTCCCTCTCCCACTCCCCCTGCTTGTGTTCCCTCTCTCGCTATGTCTCTGTCAAATAAATAAATAAAATCTAAAAAAAAAAAATAAAGTAGATACATTAATAGCAAGCCAAATATACAGCAAAGTTTAATTTTTTTTAGCTCTAAAATAGCCAAATAATACCTCCTTCAAAATGGCAAAGGAGTGCCTACAATCATATAGATAAAAAGTGTAGAAATGGATAGACTCATAATCTCAGTATTCTGAGATTGCAGTAGTAATGAAGATGGGAGTCACTCTTAGTTCACTCAAATTAGAATGAATATGCTGGTTAGAAAGGAAAATTACATTTTCTGTCATTTATAAATACATGTGTCACTTCATTAACAAATGAACTGTCTTGATGGCTGTCTTGGTGTCAACTATAATAATAGTAACAAAAACACAGTTAACTTCCAACAGCAATTCATGATAAAACTCTCGGCAAAGTAGAAATAGGGTAAACTTATTTAATACAATACAGAGCATCTACAAAAACCTACAGCTAATCATATCATACTTAATGGTCAAAGATGGAATGCTTTCCCCCAAGATCAGAAACAAGACAAGGATGTCCACTGGCACCAATCTTATTCAACATAGTAATAGAAATTTTAGCCAGAACAAGAAAAAAAAAAGGTATAGACTGGAAAGAAGAAATAAAACTGTCTCTTTCCAGATAACATAATTGTCTATGTAGAAAATCCTATCAAATCTTAAAAAGACGTCCTAGAATCAATAAGTAAGTTGAGCAAGGTTGCAGTATACAAGATTAACACACAAAAATCAACTGTATTTCTATTTACTAAAAACAAACATGTGGAAACCAAACTTAAAAATACAGTGTATGTAATCACTTCAAAGAAAATAAAATATTTAGTCATACACTTAACAAAAATTTACATAGGATCTCTGTGGTGAACATGGGTGTCAGGTGGAGGAGATGGTTAGCTTGATTGGGAATAGGTAACAATGAGCAAATTGAAGTAAATATACTAAGGAAAGTGGAAGCTGAGTTTCTTATTGCTAGAGAAGATACCTATAGACAGAAATGATTAGAAAGAACCCTTGAAATGATGTGTTAGATTAGAAATGGAAGTAATGGCATAAATTCACGGTTTTATAGTAAGTAAATGTATGTATACGTATATACATACATACAGTTATAGATGGGTATATTTGTGTGTTGTGTATGTGAAGCTGTATCTGTATTTCCTAGCTTTGTCCATAGAGAGAAGCTAGAAGAAGTGAACTCAGTAACAATTAGCACACTGAGAACTTAGAAGTTGGTTTTTAAATTTCCTTCAAAAGCTCCTTGGAGAGAGGTCAGATTCTAGACTTAGGGCAAGGGAGGTATAAGATCAGTCTGGAATATCTTTCTATCCCAGAGAACATGTCAAAAAGATATAGGAGCCAGCCTGAAGGAGCTTCTACTGCTTCTATTGGGAACACTTTGAACATTAAATGATTTTATGTACATGTAATATGAATACATATATATAATATATATGATAAATGAATACATAAATACATGGGAGAGAAGCAGAAGATTTTCCTTATAGTAGAATGCCAACTAATAAATGAAGAAGGAATGTTGGAAATAGAGAATCACTCTTTGACAACTATCTCAGAGAAGGCAATCACAAAGAGGGAGATAGTGAACTTAAGGTGGAGAGATCTGGTGGTCAATAAGATGACCAGAAGATCAAGATTAACATTATGGTGGTGAGACATAGTCGCAAGACAGTTGCTTCCTGATAAAACGCACTGAGAAGTACACAGCATTGGTTCTGCAATTCCATGCAGTGGAGTTTTTGCAAAGAATGTATGACCTGAGTGGAAAAAGAGGAGACAGGGTTACGCTACAGAATAAAGCCCATATTCTTTAAAATTGATAAGGACCTGAAAAGGAATTGTTCCAGATTGAAGAAGTCTGCAAAGATGTGACAATTAAATGCATTAGGAATTCCTGGATAGAACCCCGAAACAGAAAAAATCATTGTTGGGACAGTTGAAAAATTTGAACAGGGTCTGTGTATAGGATGATAGTGTTGTAACAAAATTGATTTCCTATGTAGGAGTGTGTCCTTAGTCTTAGGAAAATTTTCATTGACAGAGAGAATACAAAATTAACTGTTAATAATTAATAATAAAACATATAAAACAAATATTTACTCACCAATCACTTTAACAAAATAAGCATCTGCTTCAAAGTTATTTTTTAGTGTATGGATGGCAAAATCATTCTTTGTATATCCTTTACTTAGTACCACAATGTCCAAGATTCCCTGGAAAAAACATATACAAAAGTTGTAAGAACAAACCAGCAACTGAAAAACTAATGAAAATATATGCATGTTTATCATGTAAATATAAACCTTATTCACCTTGATTTTTAAAATAAAAATGCTACTAAAAAATATAAAACCTTAAGAGAGAGAGAGAGAGAGGCAAACCAAGAAACAGACTCTTCTCTCTAGAGAACAAACTGATGGTTACCACAGCAGAGGTAGCTGGGGGGTGGGGGAAATGGTGATGGGGATTAAGGAGTGCACTTGTCATGAGTACTGGGTGTTGTAAAGAATTACTGAATTACTATATTGTATACCTGAAACTAATATTACACTGTATGTTAACTAACTGGAATTTACATAAAAACTTAACCCCCCCCCAAATCTTAGAATAATAAACAATAAACAAAATGAAAAAAATCTGTAATTTTAATCCCTGGAGATAACTGTTAACATTTTTGTATATATCCTTCCAGTCATATTTGCCTGTATTTTTATTATAAAAGATTTATTATTTATTTTAGAAAGAGTGTGTGCAAGCAGGGGGAAGGGCAAAGGGAGAGGGAGAAACTCAAGCAGATTCCCTGCTGAGCGTGGATTCCCACGACCCTGAGATGCATGACCTGAGCAGAAATCAAGAGTCAGATGCCTAACCGACTGAGCCACCCAGGAGCTCCTGCATGCTCCTTTTTAAAGGCCTATGAAATGGACTGCTAAAGTGTTTTCAACCGTCAGAGGAAGAGAACACTTTTTTATCTGTCCTGGTGACCATGGCATATTAACATTATTTCTCCCTAAAAAGAGGGAAGTCTTGCTGATTTTATTGGGGGAAAAGGTATACTCATTTAAATTTCCACTTTACTGATTATTTTATTTATTTATTTATTAAAATCGTTTTGATTATACTTGACATACAATATTACATTAGTTTGAGGGGTACAACGTAGTGACTCAACTGTATATCTTATGCTATGCTCACCACAAGTGCAGTCCATTCCACTGATTCTTAATGATACTGATCTTTTGCCATATTTTTTCATATATTAGCCACATGTGATTTTTCTGTAAATTGACTATGTTCTGTTTTTCCAGTGGTAGTTTTTGGTGACTTATATCAGTTTGTATAAACCCTTTTTATATTAAAGATACTATTTGACTCTTTCATAGTAAATTTATTTCCCAGATTTAAAAACAATTTGAAATTTCATTTGATGTTTTTTTTTATGTACAGAAATTAAAAACTTCTTTGTAGGGGTGCCTGGGTGACTCAGGCAGTTAAGTGTCTGACTCTTGATTTAGGCTCAGATCATGATCTCAGGGTTGTGAGATCAAGCCCTGTGTCGGGCTCTGTGCTGGGCATGGAGCCTTGCTTAGGATTCTCTCTCCCTCTCCCATTGCCCCCTCCCCCTTCTTCTCGCTAAAAAAAATTATTTGTAGTCAATTCTGTTGCTTTTCCCCCTTATAATATTTTTGCCAATTACTTTTATGCGCCCCTCCCCCCTTCCTCTCTCTAAAAAAAATTATTTGCAATAAATTCTCTTGATTTTCCCCCTTACGATATTTCTGTTAATTACTTTTATGCTTGTCAACTGTTAATAAAAAGTGAAATAACATGACATTTGGTAGCAGAAAGAAGAAAACAAGAACCTGGACAATTCATATAATTGAGAATCAGCCTGTTATAACCAAACCAAACCAAACTAAAAATGTTACAACCAAACCAAACCAAAACTAAAAATTATGTTAGGAGGAGACATAAATGTCCCGATGGACATTGAATTTTTTAAAAAATAATCAAGTTATTTTACAAGGATGTACTGTGATATATTAACTCTAGGATTTAACACATTTTTATCAGAATTTATTATTTTTCTGAGTGGTAAACTGGCTTTTCACATTAGCATGGAGGCAACCAGGGCCCTGAGGGCCTTTCATTGTCACCTGGCAACTGAAGACAGAGTCACAACCATCTGTGGCAAGAGATGCTCCTTCCAGTTCACAAAGTTAAAAGGGGGTGCTGCCTTTACTCTTCTATGACCTTGTACAGGTTCAAGAGTCTGTCCTCTGTTGGTTGTGCTTTTGTCTATTGGTGCACATGCACATTTGCCAGCCTCAGAGCATGATTCTCTAGTGGTTTAATCTAAATAGCACAAAATGACATAAAGGCGTTTTCATATTTCACTGTACTCATCAGCTAGTAGTGTCAATAAATTTGTTCCCTGTGCCATTTAACATTAAAAGGGGCTTTCTTTAATTAGCTCATTTGCTTTCTTTATCTCATCTACATTTTCTGGTCAAATAGGGTGACGTGAAAGTGAGATGAAGTGGATGGCAATTAGACTCCACACACAGAGGAGAGCTCTGAACTCACATCTTCATAAATGTCAAAGAAGGTGGCAACCATGGCATCTCTGATTTGATTTAGGTCCATCAGCTCCCAGTAGACTTTAAACATACGATGTGCCCCCTCACAGCTTGCATTATTACAAGGAACATTCTCCAGTAAAAAGGCCTGCTGATTGCTGTAAGATAAAGGAAAGGTATTTAGTTAACAGGACGCATCAGTACTGTGTAGCATCAGTTGTGCTGTATTTCCTGGAATCAAAGAGCTAATAAATAGTATATAGTGAAATGACATGAAAACCCCCCCACATTTTACTGATAGTTGTACTGTGTCATAAAAAAATTAAATTGTTGGCTATCCTATGTGAGCCTTCGGCAAAAATTCTCTGAGGCTACCTGGTTGCTGTCTCTCTCCTTCCTCTTACTGGAGTTTACAGGTGCATCCCTTCTTCCACCATTGCTAATTCAGTCACTGACCCTGTGGTTCCATTACTGAGTTCCTGGACACTGTCATTATCCCTTCTGATGTGTATAGCCCCTCAGATGAGTATATGCATTTTATTTTATTATTTTTTTAATAAAGATTTTATTTATTTATTTGACACACAGAGAGAGATAGTGAGAGAGAGCACAAGCAAGGGGAGCGGCAGGCAGGCAGAGGGAGAGGGAGAAGCAGGCTCTCCGCTGAGCAAGGAGCCCGACGCGGGGCTCGATCCCAGGACCCCGGGATTATGACCTGAGTCAAAGGTAGCCGCTTAACCGACTGAGCCACTCAGGCACCCCAAGTATATGCATTTTAAACGGAACCACCTGATATCCCCAAGTCTTGAAAACCCAAAGCAGTGAATCTATAACACAATTTCAACTTCCAGACAGGGAGTAGGGAGGATATTGCTGAGCTTCTCTTAGACAAAGCACTGTACTTTCCATAGATATGAAGTCCTCCCTCTTATATGCTACTCTATAGGCAGAGTGGTTATGAGCTTAGATTCTGGAGCCAGATTACCTGGATTCAAATCCTGACTGTCATTTAGTAGCTATGTGATCTTGACTAAATTAATGAAGACTCATATCCTTATTTGTAAACCGAGTAATTAGAGTACTCATAGGATTGTTGTAAAAATGAAATACTGGGGGCGCGTGGGTGGCTCAGTCGTTAAGCGTCTGCCTTCGGCTCACATCATGATCCCAGGGTCCTGGGATCGAGCCCCGCATCGGGCTCCCTGCTCTGCAGGAAGCCTGCTTCTCCCTCTCCCACTCTCCCTGCTGTGTTTCCCTCTCTCGCTGTGTCTCTTTCTGTCAAATAAATAAATAAAATCTTTAAAAAAGTAAGAAATACTGAATGTGAAGTATTAGAACGATTCCTGTCATCCAGTTAGATCCAGTTGGAGCTCAATAAAAGTGTTTATATTATCATCATTCTTATTTCTATAGTGCAACACTATGCCATGCAAAAATATTTCCTCTAGAAACAGGAGTAACTTTTGTAGTGTGATTTATGTAATGGTTCCTATTATGGGCATTTCCCAATGTATACAGTCCTTTAGTTCCCTCTACTTATACAAAAAAATAATAGATTAAAGGTCTTAAATTTTACTACTGCTCAATTTTATTTAATAATAATAATAATTATTATTATTTTTGAGAGAGGGCGAGTGGGGGAGCGGAGGGGCAGAGGGAGAGAGAGAAACTTAAGCAGGCTCCACACCTACCACGGAGCCTGACGTGGGGCTCGATCTCACGACCCTGAGATCATGATCTGAGCCGAAATTAAGAGTCAGACACTTAAATGACTGAGCCACTCAGATGCCCCTCTAATAATTAATTAACTAATTAATTAATTAATTTAATAAAGATTTTTTTAAAATTTATTTTTTGACAGACAGAGAGACAGCGAGAGAGGGAACACAAGCAGGGAGGGTGGGAGAGGGAGAAGCTGACTTCCCGCTGAGCAGGGAGCTGAATGTGGGGCTCAATCCCAGGACCCTGGGGATTATGACCTGAGCCGAAGGCAGACGCTTAACACCTGAGCCACCCAGGCGCCCCATCTAATAATTATTTTAAATAAAGCTAAAAAGACATTTCTTTTGAAAATTTTTCGTATTTCATATGTAAATATTACTTTGGGTCTGGACAATTTGTGAAAGAAAAAAAGCTCTATTATAAGGAAAATTTCTTAGTGTTTATAATATAGTAAGGGAACCTAATGTATAAAATTTTCAATTTGCATTATGTACCAAATATGTGATTGACTTCAAATTATTTTTCTCAATAAAAATTCCAACACAAATAGTTCCTAAGAACAATTCATTAACAAAGAAAAAAAAAACCCTCCCAGATTATAACAATTAAAAACAATTAAAAATGCTAAGGTGACTTTGCTCAAGACCTAACATAATTTCCAGGTAATTTAACCATCCTACCTTTTTAGCTAAAGAATTTTACTAGATATTTCACAGAAATGAAGAATATTCTATTTTGTTATTAGGAGATTATATTAAAACATGAGAACATGTGATAAAGGAAGCCTTTCTACATCTTCTGTAATCAATGTATTATACTCGCCAACCTTTTCAGTGACTGTGCGCCACTAACTTCCCTTCTCAAAGTGCATGAATTTCATTATTAGAACTATGGCTGCAATTTCAAACACATAACACAACCTACAACAGAAACTCTAACTGCAGTTTTACAATTAAGAATGTCATTTTAATTTTTCATACGAGTTTGTAAAGATTATAAATGCCAGGAACCATGGCTCTTGTCTCATTGCTCACTATATTGGTTTTGCACTATGGAACTTGGGGTCTGTAAATTTTCAGTTAAGTTTTACTAAACCCTACACGCATAGCCCAACATCTCACTTTTATAAATGAAATTCCATTTAACCACAGGAAGGAAGAACCTTGATCCATTTGGGTTGGAAATCCATGAGGAGAAATGATCTTGCTTCTTTTGGGTCTCTTGATGTGTTATTGGCAGTTACAACCAGTTTATCTTTTTTAAAACTGTTTTTTTCAAAACTTACAAAGTTATTGTAAAATTCAAGTAATAGAGATTTAAAAAAATGAAATTCATCCTTTCCAGGGACAACCATTGTTAATAATTAGGTATACATCTCTCCAAACCTTCTTCTGGGAACATACAAATATATAAGTATATATATCCTTAAAAAAACCCATTTGGGTTCTACTACACAGATTTTTCTACAACTTATTTCTTTACATTCAATAATATAGCATACACAGGGCAAAGGGATATCGTCTGAATGAGGACTTCTGATATCTACTTTGAAAAGTCCCCTCAGAGAAGTTGTACTAGATTATATCTCCCACCAGCAGCCCATCAAACTGCCTGTTTCTCCACATGCGCATTCTTTTCAACGGATACTCCACAATATGGCTAAGCCATCACCAGTTTTAACACCCTGCTTTTGATAGGCAGTCTTCAACTGTTCTCCATTACAGCGTACCACACATTCACAAACATATAAATGTTATTTTCCCTTGGGAATTTGTACAAAGATTTCCAAATAATAGTCATCAGGTCAAAGAATATGCATATTTTAAATGTCCAAAGGTAAAGCTAAATGGTCCTCTAAAAAAGGTACCAATTTGTATTTCTAGTAGTGTATGAGTATATCCTCCATCTCTTGCCAATATTAGTATTATTGCTTCTTATGTTTGCCAATTGGGTAGCTTAAAAATCTCATTCTCCTGATTATAAGAGCAGCTATTAGTTAAAAAAAAACTTTTTTAAAAAAGATTTTATTTATTTATTAGAGAGAAAGAGTGTGTGTGAGAAGGTAGAGGGGTGGTGGGGGGAGAGGAAGAGGGAAAGAATCCCAAGCAGACTCTGAGCTGAGTGTAGAGCCCTGATGTGGGGCTTGATCTCAGGACCATGAGATTATGACCTGAACGGAAGCCAAGAATGAGACACTTAACTGACTGAGCCACCCAGGCGTCCCTGAGTATTATATTTATATTTATCAGCTATTTGTGTTTCTTCTTGGAATTGGCACTTAAGTATCTATTTTAAATTACTGATTTTTAGGACATCTCTTATTGTTAGGGGGTATTAACACCTTACCTGTTATTCTGATATCATTATTTGTAACATAAGGGCAAAAATAGTATATTAATTCAAATGGCTGTTGTAAGGATTAAATGAGAAAGTACATGATAAAGAGTTCAGTAAAGTGCCCGAGGCATACATTCAATATTTGCTGTGATTATTATTATTATTATTATATGTGATGCTACTACTGATATATTGCAAACTTTCTGCCCCAGCCTTTTATTTTGTTTTAAAAATTTATGGTGTTCTTCACTGAAAAGTTTATAACATTACATAGTCATTTATGTCAATATTTTTATTCATGGCACTGTAAGAAATGTTGAAGTGAGTCCATCATGCAGATGGAAAATGAAACCAGATGAATACTACATTTACACAAAGGAACGAAGAGCAGTGAACATGTTAAATATGTGGGAAGATAAAAAATATTTTTTCTTATTATTGAAGCCTCTTTAAAGATAACTGATACTTAAACACAGTGTGATGTGAATGACATAAGGAGATATAACATGCGTGAAATGGCAGCACCAAGGCCAGGAGGGGGGAAATGAAAATGTGCTGTTGTACGGTTCTCCAACTGGAAGTGAAGTGGTGCGATATTGTTTGAAGACAGACTGGGATAATTTAAAGATGCATCCACTAAAATGTTAAGATTTATAGTTAATAAACAAAAAAGACAAAATGGAATCATAAAAAATGCTCACCTAATTCAAAAAAAGGCAGGAAGGGGAAAAGGCAACACTGCTGGCGGGAGTGTAAATCGGGGCAGCAACTATAGCAAGCAGTATGGAGGCTCCTCAGAAAAATTAAACGCAGAATCATCACATGATACAGCAATCCCACTTTTTGAGTAGATATTGAAGGAACTAAAATCAGAATCTCAAAGAGATATTTGAAGTTCTGTGTTCACTGCAGTAATATTTACAATAGCCAAAATATGGATACAATCTAAATGTCCATCAGTTGAATGGATAGAGAAAATGTGGCATGCATGTGTGTGTGTGTGTGTGTCTGTCCACTGGAATATTATTCAGCCTTAAAAAAGAAAGAGACATTTGAAACAACAAGGATGAACCCAGAGGAGATTATGCTAAATGAAATA